GTGCCCGATGGGGAGCTGCGGGATGTACACGGTGGGGTGTGCACGATGGGGTGTGCCCGATGGGGAGCTGCGGGATGTACACGGTGGGGTGTGCACGGTGGGGAGCTGCGGGATGTACACGATGGGGTGTGCACTGTGGGGTGTGCTCGATGGGGTGTGCACTATGAGGTGTGCACTATGGGGTGTGCACTGTGGGGTGTGCTCGATGGGGTGTGCTCGATGGGGTGTGCACTGTGGGGTGTGCACGGGTTTGCACTATGGGGTGTGGATGGTTCTGCATGGTGCACAATGGGGTTTGCACAATAGGGGTGTAAGGGGGGCTGTGGGATGTGCGGGGCTGTGTGCAACGGGGTGTGTGAGGGACGGACAAGGTATATGAAGGGTTTGGGGTTTGCACAAGGGGGTGCTCAGAGGTGAAGGGGTTTGCACAGGGAGGGCACAGGGTGTGTGAGGGATGCACAAGGGGGTGCACAAAGGGTTTGGGGTTTGCACAAGGGGGTGCTCAGAGGTGAAGGGGTGTGTGAGGGATGCACAAAGGGGTGCAAAGGGTTTGGGGTTTGCACAAGGGGGTGCTCAGAGGTGAAGGTTTGCACAGGAAGGACACAGGCTGTGCATGGGGCAGTGAAAGGGGGTGCAGGGGGTGCTGAGGGGTGCAGGGAGGTGCCCAGAGGAGTGCAGTGCCCTCCAAGGCACGAGACCAGTGCAGGATCCACACACTGGGATTGGGGTGCGGGACACAGCTGGTGGCACTCCAGCCATGCTCCTCGGCACAAAGCATCATCCCCTTCCATCCAGCACTTTCCAGACTGCCCAAACAAAGCTGGGCAGCAGGAGCTCGACGTGAGCTGAAGTACCAGAGGGACCATCACTCCCCAACAGCGGCTGGAGAATCCATTGATGCTGGCACCCTGATCCTGGTGCGTCCCATGGACAGCGCACTGGGAGCAGAGCACCCGGACACGAGCCTTTGCACAGGCTTAGTTTGTACCAAAAGAAAATGAAACAAAGCTGAACTCTTGAGCATTGCAGATGCAGAGAGCCCAGGAGGCAGAAGTGATGCTCCCAGCCCTGTCTTGTTTTGCTGGGTGTGAATTAAAAACCCCTGATCAGAAGTACTTTTGGGCTTTTAACCTCCCTCTCCAGCACTGAAATTCCTGGCCTTTGCTTATCAGTTCTGCTGCAACGAAATCTTTGAAATATTAACATGCATTTGACTGTTTCCCTTAAGCAAATTACCGGGCAGTTTGCAGAGCATCAGACAATTCCCATAATTGCATTTTTCCAAGTGCTCCAGCATTGCAGCCGCTGCTCCATCGCCAGCTCCTTCATTATTGATGAGCTGCTTTGCTCCAGCTCCCAGAAAATGACCCCTCACCTTTAAAAATGCTTTAAAACAAAAGTGCAACTTGAATTCTGCTTTTCCCTCCAGCTATTAGTTTATTTAGTGCTGCTAATTAGTCTTAACTCTTTCTCCCCGGGAAGCTTGAAATGATTAGGGAGACCTGGCTCATCAGCAGATGCTGTGAAAATATATTGCGTCTCTCTATTAGGGCTGCAAGGGGATGGGATCTGCGTGTGCAGCCCTTCGTGGAATCGTGGAATGGTTTGGGCTGAAAGGGACCTAAAGCTCATCCAGTTCCACCCCCAGGCCATGGGCAAGGACACCTTCCACTAGCCCAGGTTGCTCAAAAAATCATGCCCAGACTTCTGCATGCAGGACTGAAAAGCATTTTAGCTACCAGGCCTACAGGCAGATGTATCATCCTTCCTTGTCATGCAGTTGTTTTTCAACTATTTGCTTGTATTCTTCCATGAATAATTACATTTTATCTATTTGACCACAGATTCCCTGAAGCCTGACTCATGGAGTGCTGCAGGTTCGATGTGAGTCCTGGAGGATTTTGCATCTGGGATGATAAATCCGGATGGAGTTGCCTCTTGTAGCTGCCCATGGCTCTTCCACATCTTAATAAAACTGCTGATAGTAGGGGAGAAAAAGGATGTGAAATAAAGATTATCAAAAAGTCAATAGTATAAGTGTCTATGTGTTGTATGCTTTATCAAAATACTTGTTTTCACACCATAATTTGAATTTGGCTTAAGCTGAGCCTTTATCCCTTGATTTCTCCTTTCTGATTGCACTCAACTTGAAGGTAGTTGAGTCTCATGGAATTCCAAAATGGTTTGGGTTGGAAGAGACTCCTGAGGATCAGTCCTGATCCTTAAATTCCATCCCCTGCCATGGCCAGGGAAACCTTCCACTAGACCAGTTATTCTTTTATATTTTATTGACCTTTATTTGATTTTGTTTAATTTAATTTAATTTATGTTTCTTTCATTCTATTTCATTTCATTTCATTTCATTTCATTTCATTTCATTTCATTTCATTTCATTTTGCTTAACTTCATTTTTTATGAAGGAGGGTACAGAATGCAGTCCCAGAGCAATACACACCTCTTAGGGAACCCCAAAAGAGATGAGACATCAAGGTTGGAAACCCCAGGAGCCAAATTCCAGCCAATGGTGACAACCCACAGCTGAAAACAGCAGCTTATTCCCTCATCCAGAAAAAAAAAAGAAAAAAAAAAAAAAGAAAAAAAAGGAGAAAAAAATAAAAGAAGGAAGAATTTAGCCATAAAAACAAAATTTGTAGAGGAACTTTAGGGATCGGAGCTCCCTTGATTCCCATCCTCAGGCAAAGGCAACACGTTGGATCCCAGCTCCCAGTTGGCTGCTCCGTTGTCCCGTTGGGCCTGTTCATTCTTCACACCTGAATTTAATCCCTGCAGGGTTTTAAACCTTTTTAAGTACAAAAACGCGATGTGTTGGAGTGTTCTTGGCTGCCAGGATGCGCTTCCAAGCGGAATCCAGCGAGTTGGAACCTGCTGCTGGGCCCGTGATTAACGCGCGAGGCAGCTCCGGCCTTGGCAGAGCAGCTTCCCCAGCAGCCGATCCCAGGCGCTGCTGATAACGCGGATTTTCCCTGCTGGCCTGGCGGGAGCAGTCCTGGCAGAATCTTTGCTTGCCAGTAGAGAGGGTGGAGGGAGGGAGCTGCCAACACAGCATCCTGAGGAGCTTCCTCTAGGGAAGTCAGCTTTTTATGTGAAACACATTTAATTGTAGAATATTTAGGAATAGCATAGAATCCCAGAATGGTTTAGTTGGAAGGAACCTTAAAAAATACCTTGTTCCACCCCTGCCATGGCAGGGACACCTTCCACCATTCCTGTCCAGCCCAGCCTTGGACACTGCCAGGGATCCAGGGGTGGCCACAGCTGCTCTGGGCACCCTGTGCCAGGGCTCACCACCCTCACAGGGAACAATTCCTTCCCAATATCCCAACCATTTCCTCTGGCAGTGGAAGCCATTCCCCTTTGTCCTGTCTCTCCATCCCTTGTCCAAAGTCCCTCTCCAGCTCTCTTGCACAGGAATATTTATATATATTTTATATATATATATATATATATTAAAAAAACATATTATATATGTTATACTATGTGTGGATATATGTGAATGTATAAGAATTCATTTTATATTTAAATGAATATATGAGTAATAAAAAGTTTAATAGATATAATGATTGAGAGAGACACACATAGAATCATAAATTAATTTATAATGGAAAATACGTCTAAGACCATAATAGATAAGAAAAGCATAATGAAAAAAAATGAAAATGAAAAAGTGAATAAATATATTAAAAAAATAAAGAAAAATAAAGAAAGGACAAAATTATCTGGAATAATTACTCATAATGTCCATAATGTTCCAAACCACTCCCAGAAGCAGGTAAAGCCAGAAATTGAGTTTGACATTATCTGACATTCACAATTCTGTTGTGTTTCTTCCTTCCTTCCTTCCTTCCTTCCTTCCTTCCTTCCTTCCTTCCTTCCTTCCTTCCTTCCTTCCTTCCTTCCTTCCTNGATCTACACTCTCTCCCTCCCTTCCTCCCTCCCTTCCTCCCTTCCTCCCTTCCTTCCTCCCTTCCTCCCTTCCTCCCTTCCTCCCTTCCTCCCTTCCTCCCTTCCTCTCCTTCCGCCACTTCCTTCCTTCCTCTCCTTCCTTCCTTTCCTTCCTTTCCTTCCTCCTTTCCTTCCTTTCCTTCCTTTCCTTCCCTCCATCCCATGAAAAGGAGAACACTAGGCTGGGGCCGGAGCCTCCAGGCTTTCCCCACGTGGGGGTGCCATGTGGATGCGAATCACACCACAGCCACGGGAAGGGGACAGGTGACAGCTCAGCGGCTGACATTGCTCACTGAATTTTGCCAGGAAAGAAAAATAGGAAGAAATGTTAAAAATATAAAGATAAAGAGGAAAGAAAATAGATGGCTTGGGAGGAACAAGATTGATAAAGCATGCAGGAAGTGCAGAATTCTATGGATGGGGGGAAATAAGTTTCACAGGGCATGATGCACTTTCCCCCATCAGAAGAATTCCTTTCTTCTTGCATGCTTTGGCTTTCCCCAGTGGAATTAAAAACCCCTCTTTGGGGCTGGCTGTAACCTGGTGCAGACTGAGGAAACCCTGAAGGAGCTGTTGGGGAGCCCAGGGGGTGGAATCAGCCTCCTCCAGAGGGGCAGAAGGACTCGTTGGGCAGCCAGGATGGCTGCGGGGGGCTGGAGGTCCGGCCGGGCTGGAAGGGAGCCCGAGCAGCCCTGCCACGTCCTGCTTGGGCCTGTTCCACCGCATTTCGGGGAAGGTTGGTACACCCAAACAGCTTTGTTCCCCTTGCTCCACTGTCCTGGCCTCTCCCCATTCCTCACTTCTAATGTTTACCATACCTGCAGGGGTGAGACTGGGATTAATTTCCATGAGAACACGTTGAAAGTGTAAATATCTCTGAGCAGGGACACTTGGCAGGTTTATGGGGTTTGCTTTCCTCCAGGAACTGGCAGCTTTCCTGCTCTTTCTGTGATTGCATGTGACCAGACACGAACATGAGGCATCTGGACATTTGGAGCAGGACTCGGTGTCTGCCCTTTGTCCCATCCCAGTCTGGCTGTGTTTCCAAGGCTATCCAGGTGCTTCTTGCTGCTTTGAAGTGGATGTGGCCTCTCTGCTGATATAAAGCCCCATCCAACCTGGCCTTGGACACTTCCAGGGATCCAGAGGCAGCCACAGCTTCTCTGGCCACCCTGAGCCAGGACCTCCCCACTCTTATTATAAAAAACTTCTACCTTGTATCTAAACTAAATCTCCTCTCTTTTAGTTTAAAACCATCACCCTTTGTACTATCACAACAGGCCTTGACTAAAAGTTTGTCCCCATCTTTCTTACAGTCCCCATTTGATTTCCCACACCTTCCTTGGGAGTACAAGTTTGTCAGACCGACAAATCCTGCTGTAAATTGGCTCTGGCCTTATGGAGACGACGGATCTGATCCCAAAGGTCTCAGTGTGTCCAGGTCACGGAGACCTGCTGCTGCCAGGAGCATGTCAGGATGAGGCTGTCCTGCATGCAGTCCTGCTAGAAATTCCCTGCCTGCTCGTGCGTCACCTTCACCGCTGCTCTCCCCCTTTTCTTGTTAATGTGTAACCTGAAACTCGCCCGGGCACATTGCTGTGATCCCAGCATTATCTGTCCCCAGCCAGGTCCATCCCTGCCTGCTCCCACCAGGGTATTTTTATCTGCAGGTGGATGGTCTTGTGTGACGGGCAGGAGATGGGGAGGGCTGAGTATCCTGGATCCTTCCACTGGAAGGCTCCTAAAAGGTCTCCTCAAAGTTTTCTCTCCAGCCTGGAGAAGAGAAGGCTCCAGGGACACTTTAGAGCCTCTTTCAGTGCCTAAAGGGACACCAAGGGTGCTCCAGAGGGACTTTGGACAAGGCCTGGAGTGACAGGACAAGGGGAACGGCTTCCCACTGCCAGAGGGCAGGGATGGATGGGATATTGGGAAGGAATTGTTCCCTGTGAGGGTGGGGAGGCCCTGACACAGGGTGCCCAGAGCAGCTGTGGCTGTCCCTGGATCCCTGGGAGTGTTCAGAAATGTGTAGATGTGGCCCCTGGGGATGTGGGTTAAAGGTTAAAATGGTGGTGCTGGGTAATGGTTGGACTTGATGGTCTTACAGGTCCCAACCTTAAAAATTTTATATTTCTGAGGTCTCTTTCAATATGATTCATTTTGTGATTCTGTGATCCCTCCAGGGCAACTGAGAAAAATTCCATCTTAGAGAGCGAACAAGCACCTGAAGGGAGGTTCTGCAAAATAGTGTCTGAGAGCAGTTTTGGGGGACCAGGAGTTTCACAGGGCTCAAGGCTATTGTGTGCCTGGGAGAAGATGGGGGGAGCCCTTGTCCTCCTTATTTACAGCTCCAGAGGGAAAGGAACTGTTGGATTGCTTTCTGCATCCATGGTGGATGTTCAGGAAGGACAGGGCAGATGTGTGTGGGTCAGGAGCCCTGTGGGAAGAGCTGGTTGAGCCCCAGAGTGGCAAAAGGATGGAGATGCCGGCACCTGGCTGCTCCCTGCCCTTCTCAGAGCACTGCTCTCCCTGGGGTTCAGCTGCACAGGGTCTGTATCAGCCCACAGCTGCTGGGCTGGACTGGGGTGGCTCCTTTCCAGTGCTCCCCACTGGGCCACATCCCATTGCAGCCCTGGTTATCAGCACCGGGCATCCCCTCTGCCCCGGCACTGAGTTTCTCTGGGTGCTTTCTCATGCAGATGTCTTCATTCACCCTGGCCAGCCTTAAAATCCCTTTTCCACCTCTCTCACTGCAGCCAGGGAAGCAGGGAAGAAGCTGTGTCCTTCCCGAAGAAAAGCCCCTTCCAACCCCTAACACTCCCAGCTGTGAAGCCCAGGAGCTTGGCTCTTGTTCAGCCAAGGGAATTGCAAAACTTGGGATCTGGATGCAGCCTCAAATCATGGAATCACAAAATGGTCTGTGGAAAAGACCTTAAAGCTCATCCAGTTCCACTCCCTGCCATGAGCAGGGATACCTCCCACTAAACCAAATTGCTCCAACCTGGCTGGCCTTGGACACTTCCAGGGATCCAGGGGCAGCCACAATTTCTCTGGACACCCTGTGCCAGGGC